TTCTCCTCCCCCCTAGAGCGGCGCCTCAGCGGGGCATTAATGCGGGATGAGCGGTATGTAACCCCCTCCCTCTCTCCCTCCTGTGCACACCCCTCCCTCCCTCTGCTCCTCCCTCCACCCTTCATCCCCCCTCTATCCCGCCCTCCCGGGTTCCCCCTTTTCTTCCCTCTGTTCTCCCCCTTCTTACCCCTCTCTTCTCTCGCTGCCCCTCCGCCCATCCGTGCTGCTTCCTCTTATGCCCCCTTTCTTCTCTTCCTCTCCTGCCTGCCCCTCCGGCTTGCCTCCTCCGTACCTCCCTCCTCCATTCCCCCTTTCTTCGCTAACCCTCCCTCCTGTGCACATCCTTCCCTCCTTCATTCCTCTTTTCCTCCCTCTTTCCCTCCCATGCACAACCCTCCTCCTGCCCCCTAAAGCATCGACGGCCACTGAGTGGCCGCCGATGCTTTAGGGGGCAGGAGGAGGAGGAGGGTTGTGGGTGGTTTTTTCCTGCTGTCTCTGGGAGAGGAAACCAAACCTCCCCTTTCTGGGTGTTAACTCTCCAGCCCCCATGGGTTGGGTTTCAAACCACGTTTCTTAGGACTCGTTCTTTTGTAATAATGATTTGTACTTTTGTTTTTATGAAGAGGCAAAAGCGACAAGCTGGGAACCGAAAAGGATATGCTCGTAGGTTTTGTTATTGTATAAATGAAGGTGAATAATTAACCTGTTACACTTGATATTTTTGCAGATCAAAAGAAGGAGGAAACTATGCCCACAGAGGGAGAGAAATCTCCCGAGGCAGAGAATAACAACAATAATAATAAAAAAGGGAAAACTGGAGGCTCACAGGTAAAGAACACACACCCGAATAGGGAAGTGCCCAAACTATTAGCATTTAAAATGAAATGTTCAGCTAACAGCGTTTCCTGCTCAGGGCATCTTTCTTTGGGTTGAATGAAACACAGTTGGTTGGGTGCAATGTTTTTACTGCCTGGACATGTTTGTTTGATTGCATTTTGCAGTGATCAGCTGCTTTCCGTGTAATAGGAGCATTTTTTTAATTTTTTTCTTTATTTTGAGGGGGTGGGAAAGACTGAATTGATGATGCAGTTGAGGTCTTGGCTGTCATATAATCATTGATAATTGATAAATAGAATACTATGTTTAAAGATTATTTACAGCAATTCATACTTCCTTGCAGAAGCACTCTTTTTTTTTTCTTCCTGTGCAAACCTTAATGCTGACTTCTGATGGTTCATACTTACACTCTTCACCTGAATCCTTGCTGTTTTCCCTTTTTAATGGATAGGATTCTCAGCCTTCACCTCTCGCTTTGCTAGCAGCCACTTGCAGCAAAATAGGAACTCCTGGTGAGAATCAAGGAACTGGACAGCAGCAGATTATTATAGACCCAAATCAAGGTTTGGTGCAGCTTCAGAATCAGCCACAGCAGTTGGAATTGGTAACAACTCAGCTTGCTGGAAATGCTTGGCAGCTCGTTGCCGCTGCTCCTTCTGCTTCAAAAGAAAATAATGTTGCTCAACAAGGATCTTCTGTTGCCTCAAGCGCAGCAAGTCCCTCCAGCAGTAACAATGGAAGTGCATCTCCTTCAAAAACCAAATCGGGCAATTCTTCTACAACGACCCCTGGACAATTCCAAGTCATTCAAGTACAGAATCCAAGTGGTAGTGTCCAGTACCAAGTGATTCCACAGATTCAGACAACAGAAGGTCAAATCAATCCATCAAATGCTACTGGTCTACAAGACATACAGGGTCAAATTCAGCTTATTCCTGCAGGGAATAATCAAGCTATTCTCACAACCGCAAACAGGACAGCTTCAGGAAATGTTATTGCTCAAAACCTAGCAAATCAGACAGTTCCAGTCCAAATCAGACCTGGTGTTTCCATACCACTGCAACTGCAAACTATTCCTGGTACTCAGGCACAAGTTGTAACAACGCTGCCTATAAACATTGGTGGGGTAACCCTGGCTTTGCCTGTGATTAACAACGTTGCCACTGGAGGAAGTTCAGGGCAAGTTGGCCAGTCTACTGAAAGTGGAGTTTCCAATGGAAATCAGCTGGCATCTACACCTGTCACTTCTGCGTCTGGTAGTACCATGCCAGAGTCTCCTTCCTCCTCTTCCACCGCTACAACCACTGCCTCAACATCTCTGACTAGCAGTGACACACTGGTAAGCTCTGCAGAAACAGGCCAATACACAAGCACAACTGGTAGCAGTTCAGAGCAGGCGACTGAAGAACCTCAAACAACTGCTACGGATTCCGAAGCCCAGAGCTCCAGTCAGCTTCAGTCCAACGGACTACAGAATGTCCAGGATCAGTCAGGTTCCCTTCAACAGGTCCAGATCGTAGGTCAGCCTATTCTGCAGCAGATACAGATCCAGCAGCCTCAACAGCAGATCATTCAGGCCATTCCTCCACAGTCATTTCAGCTCCAGTCAGGCCAGACTATACAGACCATCCAGCAGCAGCCTTTGCAGAATGTTCAGCTTCAGGCTGTGAGCCCAACTCAGGTGCTCATCAGGGCTCCAACTTTAACACCGTCAGGACAAATCAGCTGGCAAACTGTGCAGGTTCAGAATCTGCAAAGCCTTTCAAATCTGCAAGTTCAAAATGCTGGGTTACCCCAACAACTAACCATTACCCCTGTGTCTTCAAGTGGTGGCACAACCATTGCCCAGATTGCTCCGGTGGCTGTTGCTGGTACTCCCATCACTCTGAATGCTGCCCAGCTTGCTTCAGTACCTAATCTTCAAACAGTAAGTGTTGCCAACCTGAGTGCTGCAGGTGTTCAAGTTCAAGGAGTTCCTGTTACCATTACCAGCGTTGCGGGTGAGTGGTCTCAAAGTTTTGGGGTTTTGCTTGTTTGTAGGGTTTTTTGTTTTGTTTTTGGGTTGTTTTTTGGGTTTTTTTTTGATTGTTTGTTTTTGGTTTTTGTTTTGTTTGTGGTTTTGGTTTGGTGGGGTTTTTTTACTATTACGAGAGTACCAGATGATTTTAGATTAACACTCTTTCCTTCAGAATTTTCTGTAATGAACATTAAATGCTTAACTGTGAGGAAATATCTTACACATAACACTAAAATTCAGATTTTAAATAGCTGACACTTTTGCTAAACATTGAATTAATATTACCAGTTGCGTCAGTTGAAATGGAACTGTTTGTATTTGATAAACTGTACTTAAATATTTCTGTCCTCCATCTTACTAAAGACGTGTAGGCTCCAGAAGTGAACATGAGACTTTACTGTTAGAGCTTCAATATGTTTGAAAAACAACCCAAAAAAGCTTTTTCCAACAGTATTCCTAATCTCCTTTTGGGGAATGTAGAATGAGAAGTAACAATATGTGAGCTGGGATACCTTGTGTCCTGGCATGCATTCATATGGAATCACTCATTGCATTCTGCACTAGCTCATGAAGTTGTTCCCTTAAAAGTCTTGAGTTCTGCAAAGAGATTGAGTGGAATGAGGTGTGCTTGCACATAGTTTATGTGGCTTGTTTTAAAATAAAAGGACAAAACCAACTGGTGATTGTACTGCAGTACTTGCTGCTGAAGTTTTGATATGTACTGTGGAATGCCTGTTTGACTATGCTTGTCTAATAGTTGGGAAAGGAGCTGTTAAAAGGCTCTAGGCTGGATTACTGGACTTAGTTTTATGGTTTACTCTGTGCAAAGTCTCTGCAGTGTCCCACAAGGACAACTCTTGATGTAAAATTTGCTGACTTTTAATGTTTCAGATAAAACTTGATTTAAGTAGGAATTTTCTTTATCAGCTTGATAACTAAGCTTGGGTTTATGTCATAGAAGTAAAAGTCTTCTATTGTAGTAGTTACAATTAACTCTTCTCAACAACAGCCTGACTATAGGCACAGTTTTTTTACTATAAAACTGTTAGAAAAAACTCATCATGTTTAACTGCTGTCCAGTCTATCATATTGACTCTTAAACGGTTTGGCTTTTTACAATCATTATGCTAAGATGACAAATGTTTGACTGGGCAATAGATTGTTCTCTTTAATTGAAATGTTTTGGAGGAAACATAACTACTAACATAGTTTAGTAGTTAGAAATCTGTTATTGGGAGAATTTCATCTGCTATGGTACTTCTCAGCATGGAATGGCATGTTGAAATACTAAGAGCTGAGTTAGTTGCACTAAACGTGGCTTGTGTAAAGTGTCACAGAAACATTAATGTGGGTAATCAGAATTAAAATCTTGACCTTGTGTTTGGCTGTAATGGTTCAAAGAGAAGTTTTGGTTAGCTGTAGCTGAACAGCTGCAGTCCTATTTACCTTGGAACGCTTTTTTTCTTGGTGGGAAAGTGCTGGTTGATGGTTTTCTTAGCTGGAAGTCCCTACTTTGGTAGGAGACTCTACAGGAAGCCTGCTTTGGGAACAGCCTAGATTTGGGGGTGCTGGAAAAACCTTTCTGCATCTAGTTTTTGTTTTTTTTTTTCTCTGCTTACTAATGGTGTACTACTATTCAGTACACACTAGCAGGTATTAGAGCAAGAGATTCCGAATATAGTCTGTTGGTTATATTGACCCTACCTGTGCTTGTATATGATGTCTTTTGGAAACTAAAGGAATTGAGATTAGTAACTTGAGGATGAAAAAAGGGCAATGAATCACAAGTATGGTCCTGGACAAACCAAGCCTTAGTCATACAGTGTTTGTATGTTAACTGGACTATGTTTTGTCACCATTGAATTCCTCTTCATTGTGCTCACTTGCTTCTGCCTTGCTCCCAGTTGACCTTACAGCTGTTTCCATAATTTTTTGGCAGCAGTGAATCATAGAAACATAGAATAGTTTGGATTTCAAGGGACCCTTAAAGGTCATATAGTTCAACCCCTCTGCAATAATCAGGGATATCTTCAACTAGATCATGTTTCTCAGAGCCCCATCCAACCTGGCCTTGAATGTTTCCAGAGGTGGGGCATCCACCACCTCTCTGAGCAATCTGTTCTAGTATTTTGCCACCCTCATTGTAAAAAATTCTCTTTCTTATGTCTAATCTACATCTACCCTCTTTCATACTAAGGCCATCGCCCATTGTCCTATCACTACATACCCTTGTATAAAGTTCCTCCTCAAGTCTCTTGTAGCCCCTTTAGGTATTGGAAGGTGCTATAAGGTCTCCCCAGCACCCTTCTTTCCTTCAGACTGAACAACCCCATTTCTGTCAGCCTTTCCCCATACAAGTGCTCCACTCCTATGAGTGTTCTGACATTTTTTCCTTTCCTTTGCCAATAAGGTACTATTACTCCCCCAGGACTTGATGCTATGGAGAAAGAATAAGCTTTGTGAATGCAAGATTAATTGTAATTTCCTTCTTTTACTAATCTCTGCTTCTGTCCTATGAAACTTCCTTATTCTACACTCTGGGAGTTGGAGACATGGTAGAATGGAAAGTGAAGAACATGATGTGTAGTCCTTAGTGCTGTATTAAGATTCCAAGGAAAGAATGGTTATGAAATAGAAAATTGCAAACATGCTAAGATCTAAACTTTGCTTGCCACCTAAATAGAATAAGCTGACTTGATCAGGGCTGCTAACTTCCTCAGGTTTTCTGGTTTTTATTTGAAATGTTTTTTTCTGTTATTCCCAGGCATCATTACAGGAAACCTTTTGAAAAACAAACAGCTCCTCAATATCTGCAGATTGTATTTCTTTTCTGCAGTACCTGAGCTTGCCAGTGTGAAGTGTCTTGAAAGTAAGCTGAACTCTCCACAAGTAGATCATTCACCACAAATGAGCAGTAGAAGTAGGTGTTAAAAACGAGCTGTATGGAGGATGTCCAGAAAACTTTAAGGAGAAGGCTGAGTGAAGAACTCATCCCATGCATTGATTCAGGTGCTCTAACTTTGTTAGGGGAAAGAAGTTACTTTGTCCTTCAATCAAACCCCTTCAATCAAGCCAGCTGAGTTCCTAGGAAAAAACTTTTAAAAATAAAATTTAAAAAAAAATCACAATAAATAACTTTTTTTGTATTTGTGTCATATTTTTGTTTCATGAACAGTGGTTTTCCTAGTTATTTCCACAGTGAGATGTTTAAGCATTTTTTTTTTTTAATTCTTAAGTAGCAAATGAAATAGTAAAGCAGAAATATACTTAGTTTAAAATGATAACAGAATTGTTAATTTATACAAAATTTTGATAAATGGGGGGAGTTGTGATTTTTGTTGGGATTTTCTTGTTGTTTTGTCAAATACATTCTAAATTCCAAAAGAGAATAGTTTCACATTGGGAAGAAAAACATTAAAATCTTCCGGTAAATATTATATTTTTGTCTACCTTTCATAACCTTTGTTACTTAAAATCTACTGCAAACCTAGCAAGATGCATAAGTGTGTTTTGGGTTTTTTTGTTATGTTTTCAGTAAAAAGTTCAAAAACTGATCCCGGTAAGTAGCATATGTAGGGTTATATATTGCATCTGGTCAAAAAGCAAGGCAAAGCAAAGAAGTTCTCACACTGTTTCACCTTCTGACCTGAAGGAAAACTACAATGTCAATGATAAAAATAATTTTTTTACTGTGAGAGTGACTGAGTACTGACACATGTTGCTCAGAGAAGCTGCAGACTCTCCATCTTTGGAGATATTCAGCAACTGTCTGGACATGATCCTGGACAACTTTCTTTAGGTGGCCCTGCCTGAGCAGGGTGATGGGGCCAGACGCTTTTCAGAGGTCCTTTAAAGTCTACACCAATCTGTGATTCCATTAAATTTTATTAAGGTGTACAAGGTGTCAGTCAAAGGCATAATTAAATGTACAGAAGAAAGTTTTTAATCTTCTCATCCAAGTTTCTGAGTGTTAAAACCAGGTCTTTAAACAGTTGTTTAATTAAGAGGAAAACAAACAACAGGCTACATAAAAACCACTGTGGTTGCTTGAACATTCAGGGATCTACTAATACCTGCCTTGCTATTGGATCAGTGCCTGTCATAGTCTTTTACCAAGCTAGTTCTGCACTAAGTATTTCTTCTCTGCTCTGTCAGTTGTTTTGCACATGGTTCCCTGTGGAAGGGGATAGCCTGGAATGTTATAGGTGGCAACTTCCTGAATTTAGCTCCTATGATCTTGGAGAAAAGCAGATACTACAGAATACCTTTGCCTTTTTTCAGTGCTTCTGCTGTGAGAGTTGCAGATATAAGTTCAAAGGATTCCTGTCCCTGGTCCCTTTTTAAAATAAGGTGTATTTTGCCTCTTTAAAGCTTATTTTCAGGTCCTTCAATTTATCTAAGTGTGTTAATTGACAATATAAGGGACTATGTGAAGGAAACTGATTTTTAGTACTAGTTGATTTCAAGAAAAATATACAGTTCTTAAAATAGTTTCCTTTTGGTAGGTGGGGTTTTTTTTTTTTTAGATGGTTGTGGAGGTGTTTGCCCCATACAAAAATGAATTAGATGCTTTTGTTTTAAAATACTGAAAAACAATATTTGTATTTTATGTACACTTGTTCCAAGATTTTTTCTTGTTTTAAGCAAAAGTCATCAGATTCCATCACCTTGCAACACAAGTTCAAGCCTTTTTCTTGAAGATGAGTGGTGACATGGCCTGAATTATGGGAAATTTGGAGTTCATCCACCCAAAATAACCTGGGGCAATGACTTCTGTTCAGTAGAACAGTCTGTTGCCTGGCAATAGTAAAGCTGGAGAGTTTTAAGTCTATTGTAGGGGTGTGCAATGGTCTCCAAAATAGTTCTTAATGACAAGGAAATCCAATTCCAAATGTTCTTATTGGGGTACTTAAAAATACAATGACCCTTGCCATTGTATTTCATACTCCGTAGTAATGTGCTACTACGGCATTTCTCTCTTTG